AGGTACCCATTTCCAGGGAGCAGAATAGGAAATACTGACATCTCAGTCCTGCCTGTGACATGACTTGGGTGACGGGCTTTTGGCCAGGCTTTATCCCAATTCTTTTTAGTGTCTTAGACCAGTCTCTCCCTGGATCTCAGTTCTGTATCATTTCCAGCTTTAAAATCCTACAACCCTGCAACTCTTAAACCCCAAACATATATTGACAGTCACCCGGCCCTGAGGTTTTATTGCTTCATTCTACTTGCCTGCCATTTCACATGTCACTGAATGTATCCACAAAAGAAGATCACCCCTGCTCTGCAGTAACATGCTCTTCGGGAGGATTCGAAATTATCCTTTTTAAAGGAGCTTAACTCTTAAACATGTGCTTAGCTCTCTGAAGTCAGCTGAGTGAGAAGGGAGGGCTCTTCTTGAGTAGGTGCTCACCCTTCCCTGCAGAAGCTTTCATTCTAGGGCTGCGCTGTAAAACATGGCAGCCACCAGATACCTGTGACTATTTAAAGTTAAATTAGTTTAAATTAAACTAAATTTAAGTCAGTTTCTCAGTCACAATAACCACATGCGGCTAGTGACCGCCACATTGGGCAGCTCAGAATACTGAACGTTTCCATCAGTGAAGGAAGTTCTATTGCATTGCACTGGTTCTAAAGGAAACAGGGCATGGCTCTTTGTCCCTCCTTCTCTAGAACCAATGTTCTGACCTTCTCTCGGTTCATCCCACTTGCTCTCTCTGGATTCAGACCTCGAGGCTGGTGCTGACTTCCAAACTCAAGCACTGTCCCTGAGTCTCTCACTTGAAACTCTGAGGTCCTCTGACTGTCACTTCCACAAGGGGTCTCCTCTGATGGGAGATGAGATGTAGTGCCCTTGCCGTATGCTTCTGGAGCACCCTGTTTCCCTTCTCGGAACACACATCACTTCTCTTGAAACTGTTTAATTTGCTTCACAACACTGACGGGCTGCAGAGGATAGACTGTGCGGCCAGGCAGCCCGGGTTTGGATCCCAGCTCTACTCCTGGCTCACCATGTGAACTTAGAAAAGATAACTGGCCTCTCTGGGCCTCATGCTCTTCTTCTGTAAAATGGGGAATCAACTGCACCTACCTCACAGGATTGGTGGGTAATTAAGTGAGCTGCTGCCTATAACATACTTTGAAGAGCAGCCAGCACATAGTGCAGGTTGGACAAGTACTGGCAAAAATGAATAACTAAAAAGCATAAGCATCTTCAAAGGCAGAGCTGCTTTGGTTTTCTGTCCTGTACAACACACCTCATGCTATGGAACAACATCTGATGCAAAGTAAATGCTCAATAAATACTCGTTGAATTGAACTGTGTATGTGTAGATGGGCTTGCTTGAACACCACACCGCTGGAAACTTACGGTACAGCCATATTCAGAACAGTGTTAGCAAGATATCTGTGCAGGGATGCTCACTGCTGCCATGTTTACAAAGCACCAAAAATGGGGGTAGGGGCGGGTAACATCCTAAATGTCCACCTGCAGGAGACTGGTCAGCATACACTGGGATACTTCACAGCATTTTAAAAGAGCAAGTTAGAACTGCATGGGGTAATATGGAAAGATTTCCAAGACACGTGAAGTAGGAAGGGCAAGAATAGAGGGAAATGAACGAGAGTCCATAGGCGCATGCCCTGTGTGTGTACATTTTCTGAATCTCTGCACTAGATCCTTTCACTGTGGCTCCCTATGGGGAGGAAGGGAAGCAACCCGGATTTAAACATGTTTACATTCTTCACGATAGTAAGGATTCCATCATGTACATTTATTACTTTTACTCAGAATGATCAAAGTGGCTTGCATTAAAGAGTGTGTTGTGGGGGTACCTGGCTGGCTCACTCGGAGCATGCAACTCTTCATCTCAGGGTCATGAGTATGAGCCCCACGGTGGGTGTAGAGATTACTAAAAAAAATTAATAAACTTAAAAAAAAAAGAGTTTTGTGTCCTTGTGCTAGATTTTTCCTCTCTGGAACCAGGACAGGCCAAGAGACAAAAATCTGAGCAGGAAAAAAGATGGTGAGTACCTGGGAAAGTAAATAAAGATGTTTTACTGGCAAATGCACTGGTTTACTGACTAGTAGAAGGGGGAGGGAATCCACCAGGGTGGCAATTTCGGATCAGTCATGTGTGTAAATGTAAGAGCTAAAGCTGATTGAGAGCTTACATGTGTCAGACACTGTGCTCAGCCCTTTCCAATTATTGTCTCATTTAATCCTACCTATGAGGAAGCACTATTATTATCCTCATTTTACCAAAAGGAAAATGGAGACATGGAGCATTAAGCAACTTGCCGGAGGGCACACAGCTCCACAGCAGAGGGGTTGAGATTTCATCTCAAGCAGGGCGGTAGCCCGGCCTGCATGCTTGTTAGTGTCCAACAGACAACCGTGGTTGGGGCCCGTCCAAGGGAGGCAAGGACAGAGGCAGTTCTCTAAAGATCTATCCAGCGTTATTCCTGTGACAGTATCTGGCATTTAATAAAAATTCCATTTTGCTTCCAGCTTCTAAGAGTCGACATAATACACTTCAGTGGGTTCCAAAAAATTATGAACTGTCTCCTATGGTAGGGAAATTATACAGCTAAAAAGGTCAAAGGCTGACAAACACTGAACAATCAAATGGCTGAAAAATGGAATGGATTAATGCTGGCCATGAGAAAATTGCAACTCCAAAACAACGGAGCAACATTCACAGAAAAACAGTTTTATATGAGATGATCAGGCACTCTCTGAAAAACGTTTCCCTGTTGCTACCCACCAGGAAGTTAAGTGAAAGTATGGATGAGTTATTTCTATGACTTTTTAGTTACATCCAGGATATTCTTCTTGGGTTTTTCGGGCAAGAGTGTGAGGCTCTGAAAGTCAAACTGAGCTGGGTTTGGTTCTGGGTTCCAGCATTCCAGCACCAGCGATACAACCTTGAACATGTTCCTAAATGCTACTTGGTCTCAGCAAACCCATCTGAAAATTCCGTGATAATAGTTACCTCTGCTAAAGCGATACCATTAAATGGGAAACAAAGTGACTCCACCTATATGTCATTTGTAATATAAACAACTGGAGAAAATGAGTTTATCTTCCTTGTTTCCCAGACAAGTTGCTGTCTACACCACATGCTTTGTTCTTCCAATTCAACATATGCTCTGGCATTGCACAACCACTCCCACCCTCAACCTTTCCAAAAATGCCAATGGAAGTTTGTTGTTTTGTTTTGTTTTGTTTTTTTACATTAGGGGATTCAAGCTCCCCAGATGGGCATAACAACGGATTTCATATAAGGACGATTCACTTTCTGAAAATGAAGGATGATTCACATTTGCCCTATTCTGGGCCACTTGAGTTTTTAACTAGATTCACATTTGCAAGACAACCTTGAAGAAGCTCCTGGTACATCCACTTCGCCTCCTTCCCTCACCTCACTCCTAGGCTTTAGTGAATTATCCTTGCTTTGGGTTTTCTCAGATCCCCTCCCACTACCCCAACCACCAGTCATATTGCAACACTTCAAGGAAACTGAGACAATGGATAATTAGCAACATACTCAAGGGAAATACTCCTGAATTCACAATCAGAAATTTGATTAACATCTGAACACAACCCAGTGTATATTCACAATTTGGAAATGAGCTGGGGTACAAAGATAATGCTCTTCCCCTCCCCCCTCTCCAAAGAATATCAAACCATAATCAGCATACCTAAGATCCATGACCATTACTTAACTGTTAGTCACTGCCTGGAACAGGGGTTATTATCATATCAAAGCTATAATATCCCTAATAAAATAAGAGTCTACGTTGTACGTATATTTTGTTTTTAAGTCTACTCTTGAGAATGCCCCTGTGATCACCAAATAAATCCAAATTTTAAAAGACTATAAAGACATACACATAATAATTTGACCAAGTTAATAATCTGACCTAGTTAATAGTATATTATGCTCTTCTGTCTCAAATTATAACACTCAAAAGAGCAATCTAGCTACAATATTGTTTTCAGAAAATGTACTTTGAATTTTTCCCCTACATTTGGCTTTGACCTTGCTATCCCATCTGTGGATCTCATCCTATAGACATATTTTTGCTTGTGGGAAATGATTTATGCCCATGTTATTCAATGCTATAGTGCTTTGAGATATTAAAAATATTTATCCAAAGGGAACTAGTTAAATAAATCATGCCGTGCTGATACAAAGAGATTACACAGCCGTTTAAAAAACAAAACAATAAGTGCTCTATTACTAAAACTGCAAAGAACTACAAGACATACCGTTAAAAGACCAAGGTACCAAACAGCATGTATTGTATATTACCTTCTGTATAAAATAGGGAAGAAATAAGAACACATGCAGAGAACACATATGTTTATATACACACGTGGCACATGTGTCCTTGTATTTAAAGAAATTTCAGAAGGGTAATAAAACTCTAATGGCATGGGATGTAACATGAAGAGAAAGGAGAATATGAAATTAGGCAGATAAAGATAGGTATATGAAAGAGATTACTTATTTAATACTTTTGAGATATTTTGCTTCAAGAGCCATATACATGTATTATCTACTCCAAAAATACATTAAAAATCGATTAGTGGTAAAAAAAAAATGACATTCTATTCCTTCAAGATTAAAACAACACTTGTAAGGTCACATTTTGTAACTGACCATGATTCCTTCCCCTCTTTTTTCTAATACCACGCAAGCCCATATTAAACAACAACAATAACAATACACACACACACACAGTCTTCAATTAATAAAGGAGAAACCTCTTGGAGAAAAAAAAAAAAAGCCCCAAAACTATTTTTAAAGAGCTCCACAAAGCCTTACTCCATAAATTTTATCAATCATATTAAGGTGAATCTCCTATAGTTGATTAGACTTCATTAGTTCACAAAACACTCTTGCCTGGATGGCTCCCGATCCTCTGATGTGCCCAGGAGAGAGGCAGGCTCACCACCCTCACACAGATAACGCTCACCTTCATAGGTGCCGACTTCCAGAAGGGTTCCGCTCTGCTCGAGGTCCAAGAACTCCTTCACAGTCAGAAAGTTATAGTCCACGCCAGGCACTTCTCCTTCTCTGGGAGACCGGGTTGTGCCTGCAGCCAACAAGACAAATGCACAAGACACCATCAGTCAATGAAAACAGGAAGCTCCCCATTCGGTTGTAATTAGAATAACCTGTTTTGTAGGCTGGAGTGCCTAAGCATGCCGACCCATCTGCCCAGACAGGGACCTAGGAAAGACAACTTCTTTCTAACAGTACAGCATCCTCACTTCCATCCGCTCGTGCTTGGGACCTTCAAATGGGAGAAAGAGCAAACTGAGCACAGCTGGGTAGCCTGGGGTGAGTTTTTATCATTTCTTAAAATGCACTGAATGAAAAAGGCAAACTGGATTTTAGATGGACAACATGCACAATCAGCAGCTGCTAGGACTCCAGTAGATACTAAAAAGTTATCCACCTTAAGCTCACAGCCTAAGGGGTTTATATTTTTAACACCGGCCTCAAGATTCCTGTGTTCCGAAGTATAACCGGCAAGTTCCAATGTAATAAGCCCTTTGAAGAAAATGACATCCACTGCATAAACACATCACTAGAGAAATGCAATTGCCCAAGATCGGTGGTTGGATATCTCCCAGGGATTAAAATGCTGCTGCTGTCCATGTAATTAATATGTTTGATGAAAAGAGGCCACCCGTAAGTTCTGGTGGGAGAGAAGGGGCACTGCATTTGCTAGAAAATTCTCCCCTTGAATATGGTCATTCTCTCCATGACTAATAAATACAACAATTCTTCTTATGAACAATAGAGGGTCTCTAGAGGATTCGAGTCACCCAGCTCAGGTGCGAGGCTCTAGACCTATCATTTTAGCCTCATCTCAACCAAAACTGTAGAAGCAATGTGGAAGGAATGTGATTTACACACAAACCGAGAAAAGAAGGCAAACCAAGAAGCAATTATGTAGTGTATACTAGGAACCCCTGTCAAATACTAGAAAAGACCAAAAAAAGAGCAAAATACCGGATTTCTGCTTTTACACTCAAGTTGATAGGATCAACTTCACTCATTTTGCAAGACACGGTTACCTGTCGTACTCTAAAGTTGGTATTTTCCTATTTAATAAGCAGGGATTTTTTTTTTCTGTATTCCTAGGAACTTAATAAGCAAGGATTTCCCCCTAATCCTAGAAACTTTAAAGCAATTCAGAGTATGTACCTTGTGGCTCTAATGTTCTCTCATCACTTGCCCTATGAGAATGATCATATCCACACGCCTACAGGGGCCATCGGGAATTTCTCTTAAGTAAAAAAACAAAACAAAAACCCTCAACACTTGCTGCATATTTAACTTAGGATAAATACATTGTAAACGAGCCCGATTTTTCTAATATCTGAAATTGGAGTGTTTTAAATAGCCGCAAACTCTCCACAGTATGGTTGTATTGCACATGTTTGCTTAGCAGGTCCCACATGCTGGAACTTTCTGGTAAAGAAGCCTGTTTGTGTCCAGAAGTCTACTCTTGTACTATTTCCTGATTTATTCCCATTTCGGGCTCCCCTGACAGATGATGACAAGCCCTTTCAGGTAGCTTACAATTTTTAAATTGAGATCTCCAATGTCAGGCACATAAGTAGGTACTCCAGAAACATAGAGAATACCATATACTGTTGCCGAGCAGGTTCCTGCAGTGGGAATGGTAAGTTCAAGGCTTGCCACTCTTCCCAACTTGTGGTCTTAGGCATGTTCCTTAGCTTCCGTTATTACTTGGTTTCCTCATCTGTGACACAGGGATAATAATGGTACCTACACTATAGATTTGTTGTGTGTACTGAATGAAATAAACCTTTTAGAAGACATATAGCTTAATAATCATCAGCACATATGATAGTTTGTTATCATTAGAAGGAAATGAGTTGAAAGAATGCTATAGTTCAAACTCTCTCTCTCTCTATATATATATATAAAAATACACACATATATATATCTCCCCTTACATCTCTCACTAGGTTTCATTTTTTTTAATAACTATTTATTGAGGTCCCAACTCATGCTGGGCACCAGTTCAGGCACTGGGGAAACCCTGGTGAACAAGACAAAGCCCCTACCTTTGTGAAATGTATATTTTACCGTGAAAGACAGAAAACAAATGTGTATGGGAATAAAACAAAATTTCAGGTGGAAATAATCTTCCATAGGAAACAGGTTAAAGAGTCTCAGAGCAATGTAGGTTAAAGGGTTTAAAAGTATCTTGGAAGAAGGAAGCACGCTAGGGAGGAGGGCAGCTATTTTAGATGGGGATTAGGGAAAGCCTGGCTAAGGAGGTGCCACCCAAATGGAGAGCCCTGCTGAGGTGATGGGAAAGCGTTCCAGGCAGGGGGAAGGGGCCAGGGCTTTGATGCAGGCAGAGCCTTGGTAGGTGAGGGGAAGGGCAAAAAAGACCAGAGTAATGGTGACAGAGTAATGGAAAAGGGTTAGTTAAAAAAGCCACAGCAAACACTTCCTTTCTTATTCTAAGGAAGATGAGAAGCCACTGGAGGGTTTTCAGCAGGGTGGTGCTAGGCTTCCTTTTAAAAAGATCATTGAGCTTGACAGAGAACAGGCTTTGGGCAGAGTAGGGGGGAGGTGGGCACGAACAGAAGCAGTGAGACCGGTGAGGTGGTTATTACAGGGTCCACGGGAGAGAAAATCAGGTCACGGACAAGAAGAGTAGGGTGGAGCTAGTGAGAAGCAGTCAGATTTCTAGCCTACGTTGTGAATATTGCAAATAGCTGTGGCACAGTCCACAGGACGGACATATCAAACTCATTAAGCCACAGGAGGTCTATATTTTGAAGACAGAGCTTGTTGATGGGAGTGAATGGAGTATGTAAGAAAAACAGAGTGATAAAGACTGACATCCCATTCTTTGTCCTGGGCAAATGGGCAAATGGCCTTGTGTCCTTTACAAAAATCAAGGAAGACAGGGGAGGAAGTGGTTCTTAGGGGAAAAACAGTAAGAGTTCACTTTGAGACATGTGAAGTCTGAGATGCCTATTAGACACCTAGATGTGGAGGGCTGTGCACAGCTGAGCAGGTTAAGTCTGAAGATCAGAGTGCAGGTTGGGACGTAAAATTGATAGCGATGAGTAAACCACTGGCATCTGAAGGCAAGAGACAGAGATAACAGGGGGCAGGGGGAGCAGGGATTGTACAAAAAGAAGCCAAAAAGTTGACTGAACACTAAAACCCCGTAATTTTTAGCAACGGAGAAAACAAGGAAGACCCCCAAAGGAGACTAAGAGGTAGCAGTCAGCAAGGCAGGAGCAAAGGAAGAGGGTGTGATGTCCTGGAGCCAAGGGAAAAAAGCCATTTAGCTTGCTCCTGGGAAACCACAGTATACAGCATACTGGGAAATCCCAGTGTGGGGCAAGAAGAGAAACTCTGAAACTTGCTGTGAAGGGGTCTGTCCTAAATGTGATCTACAGGGCAACTCTCATCCCCAGCCTCCATACCCAAATTCCATTAGCTTCATTTATCGCCCCATCCCATGGCCCACTCCCCAAGAGATGAGGCTAAATTGGGGCGCCTGGGTGGCTCAGTTGGTTAAGGTGTCTGCCTTTGGCTCGGGTCATGATTTCAGGGTCCTGGGGTCGAGCCCCACATCGGGCTCTCTGCTCGGCCAGGAGTCTGTTTCTCCCTCTGTGCTCTCCCCCCCATCAAATAAATAAAATTCTTTAAAAAAATTAACTTAAAAAATGCTACATTTTAGAAGAAAAAATGAAACTCAGAGATACCATTTTCCCACGTAAATAAATATGTTTGGTGGCCTTGGACCTGCAGGGGAAGGAGTGGGGGGCGGGTTAGTCTCCACCCACAAAACCTTCAGGGTTTATTACCCAGACAAAACCTTTCTACTCTGCAGGCCAGCAGGAGGTTTACTCCCAGTTACCCTCTGAGCAACCCGCCCTGGGTCTGGGCCAACATGACCAGGCTCCCTTCAGTGACGCGAGGGAGAAAAGGGCAGGGGAGGGGACCCCGCCTCCTCTTTTCTTCTAGCCGAATGACAGGCTGCCGGCTGGACACACGCCTGGCAGATGGCATTTCAAAGGGTTTTCAGGAGCCATCTGGGGTGGGTACAATTATTACAAACCACGCTTCTAACAAAGCCAGAAGGGTTACTTCCTGGCAGAAGAGAAGTAAAACAAATTCTATCATGTTCCTCAGGGACAGCATATTAAAAAAAAATAATCACCGGGCTGACAAACCGGGCTTTTTCTACAGCCTACAACACTGCCTTCTGCTTGTCTAGCCAGAAATCGGGCCAACAATATCTAAGTTATTAGCTTTAAGCAAATATGCACAGTGCTCACCTCCTTGCCTTTAAAAAACCAACAAACACACAAACAAAAAACAGGAGTGAGAGATGATCAAACAGCAGGAAAGGATGAAGAGCATCCATTTATTCGATACTTACTTATGTCCCAGGCAAGGTGTTAAGCACTAAATCAATACTACTGTATTTAATTGCCAGAAGAAATGTAAAAGTAAGGACTGTTACTATACTCATTTTATTGATGAGGAAGCTGAGAGAGAAGGAAAGTAACTGCCCAAGGTCATGTGCACAATTAAGAAGGAAAGTAACTGCCCAAGGCCATGTAACAAGTAAACTGAGCAGAGCTATGGTCTCTTGGAAAAAAAATCTCTTTAGATATTTGTGGCAACAGAGTTTGTAGCAAAAACAAAACAAAAGCAGTCTTCCAAAATGAAAAACTAAGTGCCCATACATATGGGAATGACTGAATGAAATATGGTAGATTCACCCTCAGGAAAATTTTTTAACTATGTAAAGAACGGTGTGATCTACACACAGTTACCAGAAGGAATGTCTATGATGTTCGGTTGAGTGATACAAACAAGTTACTATGTAAACTTGAACAATATAATATGTAAAATATGGCTGCATTTTATTGAAAAACAGAAAAGGAAGCCCTATGGATGCTACATGTTTTTTTAAGTTATTAAATAGTTAAGTGGGTGGAGTAATATTAAATCCTTAGCAGAGGTAACCTCAGGGGGGTGGGTTCAGAAATGGCAAGAGACAAAATGATTGTTTCT